CGTTTTTTGGCCTCATGGTAGGGAAAATTTTCCTTTGCCTTTAGAGTGAGAATTTTTTTTCTCTTGCTTCCACAATGGACAGGAGTGAGAGTATGCCGGGTGAGGACCGTCACAGTTAGCACATTTCGGATTGTTATCGCAGGTGTCAGCAGCATGCTCTCTGCTGGAGCACTTGGCGCAAGTGCTCCAGCACTCTGTCATGCATGTTTGGCATGGGTGCTCCGCGACCCATGGCCAAACGGTTGGCATTTGAAGCATCTCTGAGGGTTCGTCACATAGGGCCGTACACGGCACTGTAGATATCCTGCCTTCAGAGTTTCAGGCAGTGTGGTAGAGCCAAAGGTCAGGATGACGTTTTTGGTTTTTTTTTCAACACCATCTCGGCGGATGGTGATGCGGCGCGCAGCTACAACCGCTTGACCAGAAAGGCCCTCAACAATTTCTGCCTCGGATGTTTCAAGCAAGTCATCCTCAGAGATGACTCCCTGTACGGTGTTTAGCTTGCGATGAGGTGTTACGATAACTTTGTAGTCTGCGACGGCATTCAAAGCTAGGAGAGCTTCACTTTGTTGTTTTGTATTAATTTCCACAAGAAGGTTACCCGATGCCATCTTTTTTTGCATTAAAATTCATTCCAGTAATACCTTCAAGAACGTTTGATACCAGAAAAGGGGATAACTTTGCAAGTGGCTTTTCGTCTTCAGAGTGTAGTACAAGAAGCTTCGGGAATTTTAGAAATTCAACACGTTTTGCGGGAACGTCTTTTGCTCCGGTGCGGACCCTTTTCAGGGCCCGATCAGTAGGTTTTTGCCTGGAACCCATAAAGATGGGAGGAAAGTTCAGTGCCCGGGTGCACCGCCCACCACGGAGCCCAACAAGGGTGTAGGTAATGTGTCATAGCAAGAGGGCTTGGCTGACACATTTACGCTACCAGTGCTGCCCGGGCACTATACCCTAGTGGGGTTGCAGGGATAGGTCCTGTTTCCACTCAAGGTTGGCCCTTGCCGCCTAAGAAGGTGAAAAAGGAAGGAAGAGAGTGTAGAAGAAAATAGAAAGAGGTGGGAGGAAAAGTGAAAGAAGGAAGCAGAGGGTAGAAGAGGCGACTGACTGAATCATCCTGGTCGGGCCAAGCCAGGACACCCGTCTACGAGAAGCAGAGGCCGAAGCGGTGTATTGCTTCGCCCGGGGGCCCCGAAGGGTCCAAACATACCCCGGGCTCAGCTCAACCACCAGGGTCCCCTTGTCCCCGGACACGGGTACGCCACGCACAGCCAGGCGTGGGTGGGCGAACCCACATGGCTCGTGGTTCGTAGTGACGCCACTCACCAAGCACCTACTAAAGTAGGTGCCCCCTGCGTGCGGGTATGGTGGCCCACGTGGCTGGAGTCCGTGGTGACGCTACTCACCAAGCACCTAGCGCCAAAGGTGCAGGCGCCCCCTGCGGGGCTCGGGGTACGTGGAGACACCACTCTCCAAACAACTGCTTTCAGAGGTGCCCCCTGCGGGGTCTGTTGGTGCAGTTGCTCCTGTCGTACCCGAACGTAGCGAAAAAGTTCAGCCCGGCTCAATTCCTTGCTTTGCGAACGAAGACGAACGAAATGGCCGTCTGGCGATTCATTGCTATGGTAACTCGTTGTTCGAACCGGTTGCATTCGTTCGTAAGCATAGCGGCCGCTTCGAACGCAAATGTGTAAACAGGCCATTACTCTAGATTTTTTTTGCGTACATGTAATTTTTTTTTTGTGCACGCGTGTCCCAGGCAGATTGTTTAAACATATTTTTTTTTCTTTTCAGAAAACTTTAAAACCCCTGAATAAGGAACGTAGCGACATCATCAACCTCATCTTCTGACGCGCACACTTTTTGTCTTTATTTATTTTTAGTTTTTGCACTTTCGCATTGGCGCATGGACGGTAGCGCTGTTTGGAGAGCTCCAAGGTAGGGTGCCCTACTCCAAGGTAACGGGCTGCCTTTCTAGGAGAAAGCCAATGGAAATCGTGAAGATACACTTTCGGCGTTACTTGATTGGAGGGCGACTCCCCCTTCCCCCTGCACACTTCTTTATTTTAACGTTTTGCTCTTTCGCACTCTCTCGCGTCGACGGTAGCATCGCTCCAAAACAGCATGCGGCATTCTTCGAAGGATATCCGTACTTTTCCGTATAAAGGGGCTTTAGTTAAACTCGCTTCGGGTTTGCGTGGAGTGCCTATACTCCATTCGCCACTAAGTGGACACTGCGGGGGAAGCTACGTGCTCGCTGGATCAATCAACTACCTCGCTATCATCACCTGACTCCGCTATCTTGCACCAGGGAATGGGCGGCGGTGTCATGATGTAGAGCAGTGGTTCTCAACATTTGGTGTTTCGCGGACCCTTTGTGGATCGGAGGAGATGATGGAGGACCCAATTCGTGGTGAGGGGAAGAAAGTGTTATAGTTTATGATAATTATTTATTAATTGGATTTAACTAATAGCTTGTCGATTTGTAGACTTCTCTCACTGATATAGGCACGAGAAAACTCACCCGAAAATTGGGACGCTTCTTCTCAATCTGAAAAAACCACAACTTTTATTGAATGGCGTGACTGGTGAGGCAGGGTTTTGTGGACACCAAGAATGCCTTCGAGGACCCCAAAGGGTTCGAGTACCCCCGTTTGAAAACCGCTGATGTAGACAAATATTGACGTAGGACTGGTCGAACGAGTATATGCGCTCCACGCACACCAGAGAGCCTAAATTGAAGAAAGGGTTCATCTTAAGCCATGGGGAGTGTTTGCAATTTAATAGCGAACGCCATCTGCAGAGATCAGTCGCAAGTACTCACGCGTTGCGTTTCCGCTCGGCGAGTAGAAAAACAGGCGGAAAGGCAGCACTTTCGCACACGATCAACGCTTACGGCGCCTCCTGGAAGCTCCTGTTGCAAACGTAGCCCATAAACCACGTGAACCCTGTCGAACAGTTGGAAAGTTTGTGCAATATAGGCTGGCTAAGCCAACCCGCTGCCAGTATCGCCACCTCGTGACACAGAAAAAAAATGTAGCCTACAGACGCCATGTCCAATCTCTCAGTTGTGATGAGGATGTGTGTTTTTTTAGTCCAGCAAGGCTAAGCCTATAATGTTGTTTCCTCTATAATATTATGACGTGGTACCTACGTTTTCTGGTCGAAAAATGAATCTTATGTCAGATCAATAATTTCGTTGGATGTCGCTCCGAGTTCGGAAAGACGTAGGCGCTGTACCTTCTGACCGAGGAAACTTCTGTAGCAACCGGCAGCGCAGTAGGTGTGCCAAATTCCGAGCGTCGTATTATCGCTTCGCAGCCAATCAGGGTGCCTCATCAGCCAATAAGAACGCAGAAGGACCAATCGCGAAGTAAGAAGAGCGAGCCGCGCCCTGAGATTTTTAAAAGCCATCATTAAATATCGAGCGCAGTGTTTATGGGGGTACGTTGCTGGCTCCCTTTCACATTCCGTGAGATGTCTTTTCGAGTTTCTTGAACATATACTTCCTTTAAGCTCAATATTAATGTATTAGTCGAATTTTCCGAAAGCTACAGGCAGGACATTTGTCATGTTAAAGAGATTAAGCTTGCAAAATGAAGTCAAGCAAAAAAAAAAAAAAAAACTCTGTTAAAACATAGTTTGCAAGAAACTGACTAATTACGAGTTGGATGTAGTAACAATTACGAATACACTTGCAAATTAACGGGGCTATACAAAGTCTGAGTAGAAGTCAGATACGGACGTAAGCGTCACCTTTCCCGCAGGGGCTCCATAAATATTTATCTGCGAGAGGGCACTCTGAAAAGTGACAAATCTCGCAGCTCTCGATTTTTATTAACGAAGATCGATTGAACCACACAATCATAAACTATGCAACTATTGGCAAAAGTAATCGAAAAGTCCCCATATCTAACGCAAAACAATTAGAGACGTATATGAAGTGTTCTTTTATTTGTTTAAAAAGAAATCAGTGAAAGCCCCAGATACGCAGTTTGTGCAGGTGAGTTATACGGCCAGGAGACATTAGGCTCGTTTGATTTACTTGCACTTCTTGCACCGGTGCAGTGTAGGACAGTGTACTTCCGGTATGTGCCTTGATATAATTGAGATATGACCGGATGTACACCGCCCTACACTTTTATGAACCGGTGCAGGAGGTGCAAGTAAATCGAACGAGTCTATTGAATAGGGGGCTAATCGTAAAGATCAGTCGGCCAACTACGTAAACTTTGTTAATTAACCTTTTAATTCGTGAAAATAGACATATGGTTCTAATCAGAAATTTGTTGCGCGTCATCCTAAAACGACTAAGTCACAACTTTTTATAAAGATGTAGCACAGTACCAGCTTTTTACGGCGATCCTTAAAAACGCGTCATCTAGACGCGTTTCTCGGCTTCGGTTTCTTATCGGAGCGCATCTATGCGCTGGCGGTCCTGCTCCCCAGTGGCTGACACGCGCAACACACGTGCACCCTACTTCCCTTCGTCCTAAGAGGAACGCGAAAATGTGGCTTCGGGCCAGCACCACTGAGGAGCAGGACCAAGGGCGCAGAGATGCGCTCAAATAAGAAAAAGAAACAAAAAGTATCCAAAGTTATCGTTTTTTCAGAGCGCCGTAAAATGCTGCCCCTGTCTTATGCATTCATAAAAGAATTTATTTATTAGTTTTTGATGATGCTTAGCAAGTTTCTCATTGGATCCATATGTGTATTTCCACGAATTAAAAAAAAGTTAATAAAAAATTATGCTTTATTAGCCGACTGATCGTTACGACTACCCCAATACTATTTCACCTGACCGAAAAACTCAGCTGCACAAACCGCATTGGCGTAGTTCTCACGGTTTTATTTAAATAAATGTGTAAAACTAGAAAACACCTTTATATTTTGGTGTAACTTCAGGTGCTTTTATTTTCAACTAGTCATCTAGCAGGAGTTATATTTTACAGAGTAGGTGTCGGGGTGGCTTCATTTTCCATTTGCAGTGCGGGTGTGGGTCAATTTTCCACAAGGGATGTGGCAGTAGTTCCATTTCTTACTGGCGGTGAGAGGGTGGTTTCAGTTTCTGCTTGAGGTGTGGGAGTGGTTCCACTTTCTACTGTCGATACTTGTGTACGCTTTGGTGATGTGACGTCGGTGGCTGTTTTCATAATCAGGTAGCACGAGCCGAAAAAGCAGGAACCTGGACGTTTGTCGGGGCCATACTGCACAAAAGAAAGTTAAGCTCGCACAGAAGGCAGAACAAAAGGCATACACTTTAAACTTTTACGAACTCGAAAAGGGAAAATCAGCCCTAATGTTTAGTACTACCTTTCATCCTAAATTTCTATAACACCCCCTTGTTGCCTCGTTCTTGTTTTCTCTCTTAAATTAATGCAAACTGCGAGTAAGGAATCATCATATATTCGGCCGTTTTGTTTCTTCCTTCCAAACGCCAAAAGGGAAGACCGTGCTTGCACTTGGAGAGTTTGTCAAAATATTTCAGATATGTAATTTACTTAATTTGTGTGCTTTATTTTCTGACGTAAGCTAAGTCAAATTTCACGTTCTAAGATCTCTAAACTAATAGACATAAAAATAGACCTATGTAGTGGTTCGCGTATTTCCGCGCTTCTTATCTGAATAACGTTGATGCGTGTTAACGCAATGCCTAAAAGTGCCATCTGCCAGTATGAGTTAAATAAGTTTGACTTGCACTACGGGAATCTCTCGAAACTACAAGTAGATAAGTGCAGGTCGGCACTATTGAGGATGAACTACGTTTTTTCTACCACTCCAACTAACCAATATAGTGTGCTCTCCAACTGCTGGGGTTGCGTGAAGAATTTTGAATGTGTGGACATTCTTGGCGTCAAGAAACAAGAATAATGTACACTCTAATCGCTGACAACATGAGAACGGCAGGACATTACTTTAAAATCCCTGGCCTTTCGCACAGGCTTGTTGCCCTCCAGCGTGCTTTGGTCACGCGCGCACGTTCGAAGCTCACAAGACGCGGAAGCGTCATTGAAGGCAGGAAGCTCGCGCTGGAGGAGCGACAACTGAATGACCTCGCGGCCGTTCTCCTCCTTGGAGTGACTATAGTAAAGTTGCAATTAGGATGCTCTTGTAGAAGAATAAGTCTCACACTGCAGTTTGTCGCGGGAATATAAAATCCATACATCCAGTCACCACTTTCGTCTTTGCAGTAATAAAGGCAGTCTGGGTATCTCTGCGCCAGCTGGAAAAATAAAAAAAATCAGGTCAGTCTTTTTGAATTTTGTTGATTGAAGCGAACTATTGCATTCAGTAAAGTACATACAATGACCCTTCAAAACTGCAGCGCATAAATGCATTACACGGCGTTCATTGAATTGACTTCTGTTTTTAGTTTTACTTTATATTGGGCAATGCTGCCATTCTGAGTGATGTGCAGATTATTCGGGTTACCCGTCTTAGAAATCAACGCTCAGCAAGAAACCAGAAAGAATTCCATCCTGGCCGCGTTTCGTGAGAAACGTGTCAGATATTCCCATGAATCGTTACTCCAAATCTATTGAGTACGGAGACACAGATGAATGCTTGTACTTATTAAAGATTAACATGCCAGTATCGTTAACTTGTTGCGAGCCAGTTTGTTTAGTTCACTAGTTTTCATATCTACAGTCCGGGAGCTAGACGTCCGATGTCGAAGGCATACGATGTAAATTATACGTGAATCGCAAATTACCTAAGAGAGCTCTAAGGAATTATGCAATCGTTTTTTTTTTCTTTTTCTTTCTTGTCATCAAGATTAACTCACCACTTCTGTTCTGGGAGTTTCTGGGCAGCCATACTTTATTGTAAATTTTCCCCTTCTTGGCCATTGAACATGTAAGTCGGGAAATTGGCAATTCGTTGAAGCTATCACCACTGAAACAACGTATGTAAAAATGAGTCATATAAAGCGACTTCTACAGAACCTGTTATGGCAGTGTCAAATCGAGAGCAATAAACATCTTCCAAGCGTCCATCAGGCAACGCTGGTGGCCGCCATTATTTGGTCTTCGGCGCCGAACGCTGACGCAGCACTCCCGCCCATTGCATGGTCAAAGGGCATATCCAAAATATGACGGCCTCAATAATCTCAGCAGTTGATGGAAGGCTAGAACTTTTGAAGGAGGTCATTGCGGGGCGCTCGATTGAAAACACAAGATAGCTCGTTGCGTACTAAACTATCACAAACACTTAGCACATCTTGATACATCATACCAACATAAAGTTCGCAAAATAAACAGTAAAGTATCTAATTAAGGCCCATCTGCGCTGAAGAGCTGAAATCGAAAAAATATGATGCAGGAATCCTTCGATGGCGAGCGTTCATTCAGGTATTAATGGCGGCGAAAAAAATTATTAGCCCGATTTTGCGAGCCTTTATTTAGTAGACTTCTTACGTTTCTTACGCAAGAAAGAAAAGTCAGTCACAAGAAAGCTAAGTAGCAGAAATATTAATGCGCTTTTTTTTTCTCTGTTATTGTTCATGTCCATGCATTGTGCCCTTCAGCATGATGAGAACTAAATATTCTTACGGCCACGAAACTTTCAAGCTCAGACATACGACGCGAAGAACGTCACTCTAATCTTCCTTGCAAACAATGTACCAAGGTAGGGAGCGTCCCTAAAGATCTATTTTGATTGGGGACGCACCATCGAGTTGTCAATTTTCAAGAGTTGCTGCTCAGCACTCGTCATAAAAACGTACAAACTGAGAACCTGTGAAAATACCCAGACAGAAGCATATATAAAATCCGTACTTTGTTTAGTTAGAAAATATATGGGCATGCATCGAAAATTATCATGTGTAGTACATACCAAGGATGACAAGAGAGCTCGGAATTCCCAACTTCATGACGGTGCGCACTCTCCTCGCCTTCCTTGAATGATCCTTCAGTTTGCGGAGTCTGTCAGCACACGCAACGAATAAAAAAGGCGCTTTACTCATGCTGAACTTAAAGCTTATCTTAAATACAATGTCGAGGCTCAAGTCCAGGGATCTTTGTTATTTAAACAATATGTATATTGTAAGTTTGGCTTGCGGTCTGTGCTGTCTTACGCAAAAGCTTTTCTTTTTGTTTTTTTCTTTTTTTTATTTGTTTTGCGGAGTTGTTTCCGCAGAGGGGGCAGAGATAAAGGCACAATGCCTGACATAGTCTCTGCCCCTCCCCTCCCCTCCCCCCCCCCAGATCCAGATGTTCTTCATGTGGGCTGAACCTTGCTTCAATTTTTTTTTTTTTTACAATTCTCTGAGAGCCACTAGTGAAATAAAATATCCACAATACATCTCGTGTTTTTACAAAATGTTCGCTAAAGTAGAGTCGAAAGAAGGGTGCGATCATCATAACCTACATTTTATGTTGTTCGCTGCCGATATTGTTCGTTGCTCACCAGCGCGCATGGAACATGCGCGCTGGAGAATACGCGGAATACGAGACGACAAACTACAACATTTTCCGGTAGATTCTTTAGCAAAGAGTTCTGTGCGCGCTTGCAAGTAGTGAGAGGACGGAGTTGTCAAAGGACCCGGAAAAAACCGAGGCGCACGTCATCAGAATGAAACATGTAACCACACCAATTCCCAATTAAGATGCCAAGCATCATTAAATTTATCCTAATATACAAGGTACTTAATTGAAATTTTTTTTTCTAAATAGGGGATCCGAGGTAGATTAGTTGCTCTCGCGAATATTATATGGCGGAGATAATCGTCATGGTAAGTTGAATAATTAACTAAAAAGTGTTAACATTTTCATCATTTGTTCTAAGGGTTATAATAAAATTGCAATATTGACGGCAACATATTATCCGGACCCTCTTTATATCTTCCCGTGCAATGTCATGAGACAACCTAGTTGCGTTAAGCCTAGAACATAGCAAAAACGCCCCCTCAAGGCAGGATACCCGACCAATCTTCTCACTTCCATCCTCAGTCCTCTGATATTAGATTTCGTAACCTCTCCTTCTCCCAGAAAGAATGCTTCATGTGTAGTCACCATCCCTCGTGTCCGTAACTCCGCTCATCGCTTGAAGATTATTGAAGCGCGTTTGAATTTTTCGATACTAGATAGCATACTCCAAAGAAGAAAGGCCGGGGGTTAAAAAAAGTATAGTTTTTTCGGGTAAATCAGAAAATTGCCAGAGTACCCTTTAATGATAGAAACCCATTTTCATGTCTGATAACTAAATTCAAAGTAATAAATATTAATGTTTTAATTATTACATTAATTTAAAAATAATAAATCAATTAAAAATTGATATAACTTATAATGACTAACCTCAATGAATTCCTAATGAGTAAAAATATAAAAAGAGAAATCGAGTTTTAAATGAGCAATCTCAGTTAAATTCTTTGGGTGAAAATTTGATAGAATAGATATTGAGTTTTTTAGGATGAAACTCATTAGACATTTAGTTTATATTGAGATTCGATCGACTCTATGAGAATCATCAGAAGCTTCGTTAAAACTCATCTATAACTTTAGTAAGGGCCTACCAATCTCGAACTTCCGTTTGGAGCCCATGAGATTTAACGATATCTCACGAGGAAAATCAGAGCTGCGAAGGAACCTTCGCCACACTTGCTCCACGGCGATGTGACGCAATTCAGACAGCTTTTTTTTCTTCGACCGTGGCGTAATTAAAGCCCATACTTATTGGGGGGCACAAAGGCATTGAAGTCGCAACGGTGTATCAAGCGTTGTGTAAATTTAGGGAAAAACGGCGACTTATGCACCGGTAAACGCGGTAAATGGTTTCATTAAAATTTGTAAAGCATTTCGTGCTTAAAGAAATGCAACTCTCTCCCCATCTACTGCTCCGAGAGCAAAGGACACACAACTGTGATTGCACGCGATCGCCACCAGGCGGCGGCAGCTGTTTACTCAATGGAATGAGTGAGAGTGAGAATACATTTAAATTCAGGAAGTTTACACCATATACCTTGACGAAAGTCATCTTATCCAGTGTGCGATGATCAGGGTAGGGGTTGGTATGTTGGGAAAAAAGGGAAGTGGTTATATATATTGGGCTAGGCCCGCCTTCTTGACGAAGTCAAGAAGGGTGTCGAGGATTAGCTTCCTGTCCGGAGGACTGTTGGGGGTAACCCAGTCTTCGTAGTTTTGTGGTTTGAGTTCGGCGGCAAGTCTTGAGATCGGTTCCTGTCGTTTTCCTGTTGTCGCTCGACAGTCCCAGATAAGGTGTCTGCAGGTAGCCGGTACATAGCATACTGTGCAGTTAGGGTCAGGGCCCGGGTCTTCTTCTGATGTTGGTTTGTAAAAACGCTTTCGTAGAACTGGTGTAATTGCCGTATTGGTAGCGAGGCGCCGCAATCACACCCGCTTCCACCGCGAGTATTTTGATGGGAGCGGGTGTTCCTCTTTTGGCAGTAGAGCAGTCAGTGTCACTTTCCGCTCTTCTCTTGGCGAGTGTGGTTATTTCATCGCGATCGGGGTCCTCGGTGGGCATTGTGACGGAGGAGTCCAGGAGGCCTTGTGCGGAGCAGGTTGCTTGTGCCGTGCTCCGCGCGGCCTCATGGGCTTCTTCGTTTCCCGGGATATCTTGGTGTCTCGGAATCCATAAAATGTTAAGGGTAATTCCTTTGGTTTGGAGATATCGCGCTGCGGCTTTGATTTCATTCACAGTCCTTCTTACTGCTGCTGGCTGTCTTGCATGCTCTAACGGCCTCTTGGAAGTCAGTGTAGATGAAGATTTCTGTGGGGGGCTCACCTTCTTGGGCGATGTCTAGTGTCCAAAGATTGCTTGAAGTTCAGCGGTGTTGGCACTGGGAGTATAAGAAAAGATTTTAGCGTTTGTTTCGCCGGAGCGGAAGGAGTACCAAGCAATGGTTCTCCTGCCGTCCTCGTTTCGCGACGCGTCTGTGTAAATTATTTTATTGGTTTTACACTGAAAGAGATGTTCTGTTGCTTGAATGTGTTTTTTAGCAACATTTATTCTTTCTTTACAAAGCTCTTTGCACTTATATTGTGGTATAGGCTTGATCTCTGTTATGCATTCGTCTTCCCATGGAGGAGGAAAAGTGGCTATAGCTGGAATTTCAAAGTCCGTTACTCCGAGGTGCTTAAGGATTATTCTTCCCGTGCGGTCCTTTTGAGGCGGTCTCTCTGACTGTTTTGCGCTTCTTTTGCTAGTTCTTTGATTGTTTTAATTTGAGGCGCTTCGTCTAGGTCGTAAATGCGGTTTATCTTGGGTAAACCCGTGATAACTCTTATAGCAGCCTTGTTGAATATTTCAACTTGATCTTGCCGGGTCTTCGTAACACGAAGGTCGATATACCAGTAAATGGCTTTGTAGACAAGCAGTGATCGTATCAATAGTCTTAAAGATTTTTCTTCCCCCCCCCCCCCCCCCCCCCCCTCCATGCTTTTGCTGTTGTTCTCATGGTAAGTTTCAGGCCGCGTCTCTTTTAAATCTTAACCTAGTTCATCCAGCTCCGTACTCCCCCATCCTCGTCGATTGTGAGACCGAGGATCTTTACACTTGGTTGTCTTTGAATTTTGGTGCCGTCAACGTACAAATTAATAGTATCTCCGATGTTTTTCTTTCTAGCCCTTTTTGAGGCGACGACTGTGTAGGTGGTCTTGTCGGTTGATATTTTGCTATTTGTTTTCTGCATACAGTTCATGAGAAGCCCTGGATGTCATGACGTCCAGGGTTTCTTGAAGTCTCCTTTCTTGAATGGTGGGTGTGCCTTTGTTGATCCATAAGGTGACATCGTCAGCGTATATAGTGTGACGCACAGTCAGCACCGAATGAAACTCGAACGCCGAAACGCGTGGCCATCGACACAGGCTGCTCCACCTGGAGGACCTCTGAGAACTCATGAAAATGTGCCGGGGTACGAGAGTGCGGGTCCTACTAAGGTCTGCTCGATTCTCACGCGGCGCTTCTGGGTCTTCCGCGTTTCGCCGGTGGCACGCTGTAAGCACCGTCACTCGGGTTTCTTTTGTGTCGCCGCACTTTCGACCGTTCGACACCTGCGGCTTGCGCGGGCCGCGAGAAGGTCGATGTTAAGAGCAGTAGCAAGCTGCTTGCGCTCGCGCCAGTGGAGCACGCCTATGGTGTCTTCTCCTCATGGCATGCGGAGTTTGTATTGCTTGTTATACGTATCGTAATTTTATAATTAGCAGTACTTATAGCAAAACAGCGCGACATAGCGATACAGAAGAACAAGTTGGGACACATGACGAGTGCTGACACCCAACTGAAGGTTGCAACTACAAATATTTAGTGTACAATATATGAGCACATTCATACGTCCACTCACAGAGCTGTCTTGTTCTTCAGGCTCGTATGCCTTGCTGCGAATTCCATAATGCAAATCTACTAGCTAGCGCACTCAACAAATATCTTCCTTAATTGTAGTGACTTGAGCGTTGAACAATACGTCACTCTGTGCAGATTCTGGTCCGATCTGTCTAGCGCAACCATTATTTATCACTTTGTGTATCAGATGCTTAGCGATATCTTTTCGGCGCTGTCATTAATAATTAGCTATGTGTATCGCAAGAGCGAAACGAAAGATAAACCATTTCGTGCCCAAAAGACCCGTAGTGCTGAATGACGTGTCACCGAAACCACGCGGAGGCTCCGGTGAACAACGTGGCATTCGCGGTTTTTAAGAAAGAGTGAAACGTCATAGACGCGAAATAAAATTCGTTTATTGACAGAACCATACTCTTTATGAAAAAAAAAAAAAAGATGCTGCAACAAATTGACGCGGACGCCTCGTTTTTTATAAGCAATGCGCATGTTTTTGTGTGAGGTTATCAGTCGATGCTTATAAAAAGCGAGGAATTGCTCGCTCCGCTCCCTTTGGTAACCACCGATAAGCCAGGCGGATCAGTGCCTGAACGGAATAAATGCGTCACCC